GGTTTGCTGGTGCACATACTTGCGCAGGCACTTCAGGAGCCTAAATCCTGCCTTTTCAGCTGCGCTTGGGAGTCTGTCACACTTCTCTTTTCCCAAAAATAAGGGATCCTTCAGGTGACTGTAGACCTTTGGCTGGAAAGCGTAGCGTTGTCTTGGTTTGCTGTGACTGGTGTGTTTTTACACCTAACCACCTGCCCTCCTTCTCCGCGTCCAGCTCTGCTGCTGAGATTGTTGCAGTTCCAGCTTGTTCTTCATGTGTAGCTTGTAAAACAAGAGCTATCGCTGTGTCTGCATAATACACACTTACACATACATATGTATAAAAATATATATATGTGCATGGATGAAGAGCGCATCTGCTGCGCCTGCTGCTCCGCAGCCCCGTGCGCGATGGGACGGGGTGGGGTGCGGAGCTGGGGCACCCCTGGTCCCAGCTCTGCAGCTTTGCCTTTTCTCTCCCCTTCCTGAAGATGCTCCTTTCTACATGGCACACCAACTATGTTTATAGACATGCTTTCCCAGCCGGACTTTGACTCCTATGACCTGTCAACTCTCCGGGGAGGTAAGTCTGACAGCTCAAATGAAAAAATCCCGAGAAACTGGATATTACTGCTTCCCTGCTGGGAGGCTATATTAAGCTTTGCGAGCAAATCCCAAATTGCTCTTCTGGAGGGAAGAGTTTAGTTGCACAAGCCTTGTGTTTCACTGTTAACTTGATGCCACGTTTCCTTTCCTTGGGTTTTTAGAATTATGCATTTTTAAGATTTCTTTCATCTTAAAGCAGATCGGGGAAGGACCTTTCTCTTTTATCTGCCAGATCGGGGAGCTGGGAAGCCTGGTGTTGCTTGACTCTCATCTCACCAGCCACCACCGTGTGGCAGCAGATGCTTTGTGTGCTTTAGGCTGGTCCCTAAAGCAGAGCTACGCTGTGATTTCTCTCACCTAAAGTTTCCTGCCTGTTTTTGAAGTCATTCATCTAAATACTGGAGAGGGTGTGATAACGTGTGCTGGAGCTTTCTCTCTTGTCCCAGCAGCCTCGGAAATAGCTGAGCTGAAACGGGGAGACCACCAGCCCTTTCGAGGCAATAACAGCACGGAGAGAAGATGGTGCTGGAGCATAAAGAAACATTTAAGCAGATTACCTAATCATCTCTGCTATGTGAAAAATGATCCTGTCTCATCTTGTTCCCCAGCAAAGCCTATATATTACCCTGCTCTTTTGCTCTGTCATCCTAGGATGGAACAGGTGAAAATGTGATCTGCCCTCTCCCAAAAGGGCTGCTCTGTGCAAGGCAGGAGGAAAGGTTTTTGGTTTTACGGTGGTGATGATTGATGGGAAGATTTGTCCTGCTAAAAATCTGTGCCTCTTTCTGCTCTGAATCTTTCCTTTTTGGGAACTGCAGCTTGGACTAGGTTTGTGCTATAGAGTTTATTTTCCTAATGAGTGAACTGCCAACCCTTAATTCATTCAGGTAAACTGGCCTTGCTGCAGTCTTTGCTTCTAGAATAACTAGGGTCTGTATCCATAAAAATAGAAAGTATTTTGACAGGAACCAGTGTATCCCAAAGGTCTTGCCAGCATTTAAATCTGGGAGTGCAGAACCTTCTGAGGGACTGCTCCTGGGAGTAAAGAGATGGTTTCCAGGATGGTCATCTTTTCCTCTTTCTTCCAGGAATCATTGCAGGTTCTCCTGTTCCCCCTGAGATCATGAAGATGATTATCACCAAGATGCACATGCCAGAGATCGTGGTGAGTCATGGTTGCTGTGACTAGAGCTACAAGTGGTGTTTGTCGTGCTGAGACCCTGAGTTTGGGCACCTCTGCACCGCAGCGGTACCCGGCAGTGCCAGAGCTGCTGGGATCAGGCGTGATGGGACTGCGGGTGCAAGGCCAGGCAGAGGAGTGAAGGTATAGAGGGGCTGGGAGGAAGAAGGGGGAATCTGCCTGGTTGCCGGTGGGGTGTCTGTGGAGGAAGCTTTGTAAGAAGAGAAGACATTGCATTCAGTGTTGTAAACTGAGCTTCTGGTGGTGCTTTTCAAAGCTCTTATGAACCCTCCTGTTGTACATGCTGCAAGGATGAACGATTATGGAAGAGGCGTTGCTGATTTGTATCGGTGTGGGTGGGTGCACGTGTTCATCTTGCTGCGGAGCTGTCGGGTTTCTTTCACCATCCTGGACTGCATGCAGATACAAAACCTTGTTGCATGCTACGCGTTTGAGTCTGAACGTGGGGATGGGACCATCCACACGTGCAGCACCAGGCATTGCGTTGCCAGAAGGGCAGCACGTGTCGGACCATGCGTGCTACTGCTCCATCGCGTGTCCCTGCACCCTTGGCCTGTGCAAGAGCATCGGCATGTCCTGCATGTGGAGGGGGACAGGCCACCAGCAAGGGGGTCGATGGCACTCCAGGTGACACGTTTCGTAGGCAGGTCCTGCCATCTGCACGTGTGTGCCTGCGAGTGGATGCCTGAGCCAAAAAAGGACTTTTTTGTTTTGCTTTAAAGGAAATAACTTCAGTGCCACGCTGCTCGCAAATGCTGAGGAAGCAGACTGTTGTGATGGCTTAACACGCGGGGCTGGGAGTCAGATTAGGCGTGTTATTCTTGGCAGACCCGGACCGCACCAGCACCAGGGTTTTACAGGGACGACTGTGTGCTCTGCTGTGGACCAGGGGAGTCCAGGGCGTCTGTCCTGGAGCCGTCTCAGAGGCAGCCAGGGGTTTTTCCTGGATGTGATGCTCTTAATGCCGAGCTGAAAACACCAGGGACAGCCCTAGTGCCGTTGCCCAGACTCTGTCAGGTGACAGCTACCTATTTTTATAGTAGGCTTGCGTTTGGCCTCACAAAATATTTTCAGACATTGCTGCAAGTGCCCAGGACTCATTAGGTGTCACATCTTCCTGCTTTGTAGAAAGAGAAATAATAAAATCCTCCTAAACAGTTGCTCTGCCCGTAGGATAAAGAGGATTAAGTCTATATTTGTACCACCGGTCTCGTGTTACTTCTGATCCCCCAGCCTTCAGACAGACACAGGGAGACTTGTTGAATTCATCTTTGCAGCAAGAGCTTTATACAGAAGATGTACATAAGAAAATATACAATTTGATTTCTATATAGGAGACAGAGGAGTTTTCACCCTCTTAAAGGTCATTTACACTCAGTTACAGAGGAATAAATATACATATATTTATATAACTCTTTAGGATTAAAAAACACAGTTAAGTTGCAACTGTGGTATTGTAATAGCCGTGACAATAAACCACAGTCATCCTGGTGTCCTGCTAGATCCTCTGGGCAGAGAGAAGAGGAGGGGTGCCCACGCCAGGCTGCACGGTGCACACCTCCTCTCGGATGTACATGCGTCTTGGTAGACCCCACAGCGTGGGAGGGAATCCAGTCTTCAGATGGCTTCAGTTTCGGGGTTTCCCAGTACTGCTTCACTTAAATGATCTCTGGCCAACCTAGAGAGATTGCTGCCTTTTGGCGTGAAAGGGCAGCTCGGTCTTGGGGCCACCGGTTCTTGGGCACTGCTTCACCTATCCCCCTCAGCCCTGGCCTGCAGGGATCCCCTCCGTGGGAAGGCAGAGGAATCTCTTTGCATGGCTTGAGACCAATTTTCCTGATCAAGCAGCTGGGGGAGGGATGCTCCTACCTTCCCACTCGCTTCCACTCCACTGGAAGGGGAGAGACAGTGACCAACTGGTTGATCGGGGACGTGGGTTACGTTGCCTCTGGGAAAGATGACTGTGTTTTACCGGCAGGATCTAGGTTAGCTTGTCTTAGTATGGTCATGCATAGTTTAGTTTTTAAAAATGCCTCTTTTAAAATATATAGATGTCGGAAAAGATTGAAAAGGTGGATTCCATCCTGCGATCAGCAGAGAAGCGGGGATTCGGAGGAGGCTGGAGGTGTTCGGATATATCAGAAATGTTTCCCGACAGGTAGGAGAAGCTTAAGGAAGGACTCAGAAGTCAGTAGTTTTCTGATGGTTGAAGTGACCGGTCACCAGGACAGGCCATACCGGGGCCTGCTAGGGGAAAAAATGAGAAGGCCACAAGTTTAAGGGGATTTTTCAAGCGGATCAGTAAACTTCTAGCATTTGTCTGTTTATTTTTACAGTGAGTGAATGAAGCCCATACTTGAAAGTGAAGAGTTAGGAGTCAAGGAGCCATTGCAAGTTCCCACAGTAGAGGAGATGGGTTAGTCCTGTCTCTGACCTCTTCTGCCAACTCTCTATGTGACTCTTGAGTATCTTACCCAAAGTGTTGATGGTCAGTGAGCACTTCCTTCATAGAGGAAAAAACCCAAGAGCGAAATTTTCAAGAGCAGTGAATTACTTTGGTGCCCCAGTTATGGAAATCCAGGGCAGGTAGATTTTTAGAAACTGCCAAGCAGCTTTTCATCTGAAATGTGGTCAGTGACCCAAGTCACTGGTCATCCCTGAAATACAGACCCCCATAGCTGACATCTGAGAGAGCTGCCTGGCTCTCAAGAGGTGCACGGTGAAGTCAGAGGTACTTCATATACTTTAAAATCGTGTCACCACACTGGAGTGGGTTTGTGTGCCTGCATTTTGGCACTCACATATGAAGGTACCGAGCTTTGTCTTCTGCGAGACTGGAATAAATAGTTTTCTATTTCATTAACACTCGTAAACTTGTTTGAGAGAGTTGGGTGGAAGGTGCTATAGAAAAAACAGGTATTATTGTCATGGCTTTCTTACTCTCATCATGGAGGAGTGAACTGGAATTGAGTTCAGGCAGGGAGAGAAGGTTAAGAAGGGCCAGACCTGTAAATAAAATACATTTAAGTATTGTGGTTTCAAACTGAAGTTTTTCCGTCCTTAGAGTGGAACTTTACCCGCCCTATATGGAATGACTGGTATTTCCATCTCTAATCCATAAAACCTCTGGCACTGCAAGAGAAATAACCACTTTAGGAAGGTGTGGAGCAGCTGGCATCATCCCTGACATTTTGGTCTTAAATTTACTTTCTCCATCCTGTTGTGCATATCCTTAGTGAACTGGGGACCAAATGGCCATAGCTGGGCTTTGGGCTTCTGCCTCGTCCTTTCTGTTACGAAAGGGCACAGTGACAACCCTTGTTCATAGAGTGCAGCGCAGGGTCACTGCACTTTACTTAACAAAATGAGCAAAGGTCCCTTTCCCAAGAGCTTACAAACTTGCAGGCTCGTCCAAAGTCCTTTGGAATCCGTACAAGCTCCAGACCTATTGCTGGGATGGGAAAAGTAAAATCCTTGGGATGGAGTGATGACAGTTGTGGCTTTTCTGCTACTCTGTGCACTGAATTTAATACTCTTGGTAGTTTCCAGTTGTGGAAGGTGTTTGTGTGATAGGTTTTCACAACTGCTGTTTGGCTTGGTAGAAGTCAGCAAGCTCATTGCTCAAGGGAAAGTCAGCCCTGTCTCTGAATCACCTTCTGGCCCAGAACACTTTATTCAAAGAATATTTGCCGTCTCGAACCTTCCTCTTCTGGGACACTCATTTGAAGGCATTAGCCCTTGTTTTTAAATACCTGAGTGTCTAGGATGGGAATTGTAGTTGCTGAAAGGCAGGTGCTGGACTGAGAACTACTCCTTATGGAAGACGTCTATTTTCATAGGGGCTGGGTAGCCTGGGGCCAGATTTCCCAGCAATGCCCTGCCCTGCATTTCAAACCAGACTCGGAGGATCTTTACTAGGGCAAAAGGCTGAGCATCTCCAATCGGTTGGGAAAGTAAAGCGTGTGTGATCCCAGCTCAGGGTAAGAGTGGGCTAAATCCACCCTTGTTTTGACGCTTAATTACACGTTTCACCCTTACTTGCTGCCCCAGGCCTGTCTTTAGCCCCGTGTTTGTTTTACAGGGTTGACTCCATCCCCAGTGCTCCAGGCAGATTGTCTGCTCTGGGAGCCCAGTATTGCCAGGAGAGGGAGCAGCTCTGAGCGGAGGCATCGGTGGGTGAATGGATGAGCTGTTTTGAGCCGAACCCTAGCGTCACTGAAGTCAGAGACAAAAGTCCCTGTACCTTTGGTGGCATCAGGGTTTGCTGTAGGTCAGACTAAAAGCTACCGGTAGGAAGTGGCTCTATGAACTATCTTACGTGTTTAATGGCGGCTTCCCTTCTTGGACCTCTTGGTGGGGAGCTTGCAGGTGCGGAGGGCTGGGGTGTCTCTGATGGACTGCCCCCGGTACTGTGCGGGCGTAGAGCAGGTATCCTCGGTGCGGGTGCGATTGCCCTTCAGCCACCTGGGACACGGGGAGAAAGAAGACCAGGAGTTTACAAGAGGTACAAACCATCATGGACAGCACTTATACCATGAACGGAGAGGGCAGGCTGGAGAGAGAGCTGCTGAGCACATGTGCAGCCTTCAGCAGCCTCCTCTTGCCTGGCACGGCTCGGGGGGGACCCCCAAGGAGACCCCAGGGAAGGTGGGGAGGGAAGGGGCGCATGGTGCTGTACTTGCGCAGATGTGCTAGCTGGCAGTTGCAGTGCCAGGCATTTCGGGAGAGTGTCAGCGTCTCCATTTTGTCGAAGGGGAAGTTGCGGGGCAGCTGGGTGAGCCGGTTGTTCTCCAGGTGAGCGGTCTTCAGCACGGTCACACCGGCAAACGCGTTGTCTGCAAACTAAAGCACAAAGATTTCTGGTGAGGAACACTGAGTTAGGCAAGGGGACTTCAAACCTGAGTGCCTCTGTTCAAGACTTTCAGTGGCATAAGCATGGAAAGAGCAAGAGAAGGAGTAGTGGA